GGAAAATGCTTGTCGACGATCTGCTTCGCAATCTGAGAAGGTAAATGTGGCTGAAACCATTTGTCTGCATTCTGGAATTGCCATGAAAGAGGTTATTCAAAATAACAAACAACTGTTGTTAATTGTTAACTACAATTTGGAAATCTTTCTTTCCTTCCATTTTGGGTGGGAGAAGCTAGGAAAGGCCCGACACTCTTATTTTCCCTTTTGCTCTTCCTGTGCAGCTTTGCACACGTCTAGACTGCTACTGACTGACTTTCCACTTTGCCCAGCTAGTTTCTAAAGTAGCCCTCCTGCCATTGGGATAGAATGCACTCATTTGTTTGGTCCATGGAGGAAACAAGCCACATTGTTCCCCATTCCTGTCTCTTAGACTGAGGGTCCTTGCCACTTGTCAGATAATCTGGGTTCTGGATGGTGTTACCTTTATCAGCTTCTGGTCACTTGAGTGCCCAACTCATGATTGTAGTTAAACCAGACAGGCTGAGTTAGCATTAGCATTGGACTTCAGTATTCTTAAGTATTGGAATTTAATAATATGTACATGGGGAATGGGCATGCTCTTTGGTAGTATTTTAGGCTATTTATTATATGTAGATATACAAATAAATATCTTAGGGGAACACAGACATGTAAACTGTGGGTGCTGAGTTTCTTTACAATACATTACAAAATATCTAAGGTATCATACTTTCATTACATCACATCATATGGCTATCAAGATGTTCATTTTCCTAGGATTGCTTTTATTTTTCTGCTTTTATAGGCTTTGTAATAGCACATGTGGGAACATGACCCTTCTAAACCATTTAATATGGCCATTTATCCATCATCATCATCAAGTTCTTTTCATAGTTCTTATAGTATAGAGCCATTATGTAGACAAAAGCTTTTATACATACAGATTGTTCCCTGCATCATACTCCTAGCCATCTTAACAATACATCTGATAATTGTATTCATTCAAATACTGTCTGTTGAGGAACTACACATCTTTAACAGCTTCTGTGAATGCACAGGCATTCAGGGGTTAATCTTCAGCATCATTCAATCTTAACAGCATCCATTATTACATGAACATATATCTACTTCACATGAAACCGACCAGTACCAGCATTTATCGGCCTATGATTTCATCAGGAATAGCACAGCTGTTATTAAACAGCTGTCTTCATATGTCAGAGGCACGCCTGACAGGCAGTCAAATATTTGAGCTCCATCTTAACTTCTTTTATTCTCTTCTTCGCTCACTCAGCTAATCAGTTCTCCAAATGTGTTCATTGCCTCTTTTAAAGATATTTAAAACAAAGATCTTATTCATAACCCCACCTGGGCTCCAGTAGGAGTTGTAAACATCCTTCTCAGCAATTCATAAGGAGGTAGGTCTATGCACGGTCAAACTATAGTCGACCCTCCACATTCCCAGGGGTTAGGGGCGCAAGACCCCCACAAATGTGGAAAAATGCAAATAACTCACTATGAGGAAGTTAGTAAAGGGGACCGGGGAAGGCAGGGGACAGGAGCAGGAGTGCGTGCTCCTCTTCTTCTCCTGCCCACATCCCTTTAACTTGCTTTCCCAGGTGGATCGATGCCAGGGAAGACAGGCACCCATCCGCTTGGGAAAGAGGCGGGTGTGTGTGGATCAATCTCCTCCCCTTTCCCAGCCATATCCTGGATGCTCCCTTCCTCCTGGGCCTTTTCCTCCCAGGGGAAGAGCCTGGGAGGAGGAAGGAATGTGTGCATGCGTACATGGCGGCTTGACCTTGCAGACAATCAAAATATCGAATGTCAAAGCAGCGAATGCAGAGGAACCACTACAGTGTATGTGGTCCTCTCTTACAATTGTGCAGGCATTTTCTTGTCGTATTTACTTTCTATTGAGTATCTGGCATTTTCCCAGACAAGCTGAACTCTAGAATCATAGAGTTGGAAAAGACCCCAAGGGCCATCCAGTCCAACCCCATTCTGCCATGCAGGAACTCAAAATCAAGCTATGCCCAAGAGATGGCCATCTAGCCTCTGTTTAGAGTCCTCCAAAGAAGGAGACTCCACCAAAATCTCCATTGAGGAAGTGTGTTCCACTGTCGAGCAGCTCTTACCCTCAGGAAGTTCTCCTTAATGTTGAGATGGAATCTCTTTTCCTATACTTTGCATCTGTTGTTCCAGGTCCTATTCTCTGGAGCTAGCGCCCTCCTCAATATGACATCCCTTCAAATTTTTAAACAGGGCTCTCATATCCCCTCTTAACCTTCTCTTCTCCAGGCTAAACATACCCAGCTCCCTAAGGCGCTCCTCATAAGGCTTGGTGGTGTCCAGTCCTTTCTTCATTTTGGTCACCCTCCTCTGGATACTCTCCAGCTTCTCAACATCCTTTTTGAATTGCCCAGAACGGGACACAGTATTCTAGGTGAGGCCTGACCAAAGGAGAATACAGTGGCAATATTGCTTTCCTTGATCTAGATCAGGGGTTCCCACACTTTTTGAGCTGGGCGCTGGTTCGCTGGCCCCCAGATTGTTGGGGGGTGCACATATGCACACTACTCTGGCGCCGTTTTGTGTTCCAAAATGGCGCCGTGTGGCGTCCCCGGAAGGACTGGCCGCGGGCCAGTTCAAAGGCCTCGATGGGCTGGGTTTGGCCCGCAGGCTGTAGTTTGGGGACCGCTGAACTAGATGCTATACTTCTATTGATGCAGCCTAGAATCGCATTGGCCTTTTTTGCTGCCGCATCACACAGTTGACTCATGTTCAACTTGTGGTCTAGTAGGACTCCTAGATCCCTTTCACAAGTAGTCTTGCTAAGCCAAGTGTCCCCCATCCTATATTTATGCATTATTTATTTATTTATTTATTTGCCCTGAGTGCAGTACCTTACATTTCTCCATGTTGAAATTCATTTTGCTAGTTTGGGTCCAGCTTTCTAATCTATTAAGGTTATTTTGAATTTTGATTCTCTCCTTCGGGGTAATAGCTCCTCCTCCTAATTCGGTGTCATCTGCAAATTTGCTAAGCATGCCCTCTATTCCTTCATCACGATGATTCTGAGTGATACAGACCCACTTTTACCCATTGACCTGCTTGCACTAGTTCTTTTGCTCTATCGGCTTTACTGGATGACATTCTCTACTTCAAAGTTATATGCCCAGGTCATAATGTTGGCAACTAAATAATGTGGCCTGTGACAATTGCTTTTCTGGGTTTAGCACAGGCATAAGCCCTGCTGAGGTTTTTTCTAGGCCTCCTGGCCTTCAGCAAGGACACGCAAGCGCCAAGAACAGAGCAGTGATGTGGTTTCAGAAAGCAGCTACCATGGAGTTCCTGGTGATGCCAATCTCTTTCCATGCTTTGTAGGTGAGGCTTTGAGTTCATGAAACAGCTTGCTCAGATTGTTAATCTTTCCTCTAAAACTTGTAAATACTAGGAAAGATCAGAGAAATGAGGATGACAGTGAGAGAGAGGACCCTGTGGAAATGGAGGGATTGGAAAAACTAGGAGTTCTGCCCAAAGATGTCAAGAAGAAAGTGAAAACGAAAGACGTCACTTATGACGTAATAGACCTGCAGAGTAATAAAAAACATGGTAGGTACATGTCTCCTTTGTCTGACTTGGAAGGATGCTAATAGACCCTGACTTCTCTTGTGATTAATTGCTTTTCTTCACTTGTTGAGTAGAATTTGTCATGTTGTAATTTTAGCATTACATGGTAAGTCTCCCTTATCTGAAATGAACGGAAGCATTTTGGGTTTCAGGTTTTTCTAGATATGGGAAAACCTGTATTTACATATATGTAAATGCTGAGATATCTTGGCTGTGGGACCCAGGTCTAAACACAAAATTCATTTATGTTTCATATACACCTTAAATACATAGCCTGAAGGTAACTTTACATAATATTTTTGAAAATTTTGTGCATGAAACAAAGTTTGTGTACTCTGAATTATAAGAAAGCAAAGGTGCCACTATCTCAACCACCCATGAAAAAAAGTTTTGATTTGTGGAATATTTCAGAATTCCAGATAAGGGAGACTCAGCCGGTATTTTCAAGCTACTCTTTTCCATAACTTACTTGAGTATTTAAAAAATAAATGTAAAGACTATTCAAAAACATTTCAAAGACAAATGAGAAATGGGTTTCTTTAGTGTTGGGATATCCTGTGAAAAGAGAATCGTGGATGAATGATTCACAGGTTGGGACTTATTCTTCACAAAACACAAATATAGGTTTATTTACTGCAGAAAACATAATTTTTCATTCTCATACACAATAATGAATAATTGTGCTATTTTTCTGCTCAGTGTTTGAGCAAGGCTACCTCCACACTGCAGAAGTAATCCTGTTTGACATCACTTTAACTTCCATGGCCCAATACTATGGAATTCTCAGAATTATAGTTTGTTGTGGTCCCAGAGCTATCTGATAGAAATCTAATATCTCATGGAACTACAGATCCCAGAATTCCATAGCATTGAATCATGGCACTTAAAGTGGTGTCAAACTGGATTGTTTCTGCAGTGTGGATGCAACCAAAGTCTTTAAAAACTGCTTTTGAGGACTGTTTCCAGTTCAGGACTTACTTTTAAAACAAAACGTGTGTATTTTTGCACAGAAATTAGAATTATTACATCCTTGGATAATCTGCATGGGTACCACACTGTGAGAGAGGAAGGGTGCAAATTAAATAAATTAACAATGTTATGGAACACCCCCCCCCCCCAGATACTAGACATGTGGG